TACATTAGGATACATTTAGTTATTATTTATAATAAAATGTTAGTAAAAATTCTGTTAAGCACTTGCGCCGAAGCGATCTATGTGCAACACCTTAAAAAATTATAATTGACCGTCACGTGATCTACATAGTCATGTGATATCACAACAAATGTGTTGATATGTAATTGAGAGACCTCATATTGAAAACGAATCCGAGCTGGAAATTTAATGCTATGTTTTAAATGCAATTTAATGCTGGAAATTTAATGCTGTGTTTTAAATGCAATTTAATGCTTTGAGACCTCATATTGAAAACGAATCCGAGCTGGAAATTTAATGCTATGTTTTAAATGCAATTTAATGCTGGAAATTTAATGCTGTGTTTTAAATGCAATTTAATGCTTTGGACAGCCTTAACACAGCTGTGAGGACACCTGTCAGTTATCGATAATTTGTTCATTATGCGCAATATAATGTAACTTTATCGAAAAATACAAAAGAATTTCAGACATCAAGTTCTGAAATACGAATATAATTGGATTTTCTTTCTAATTCTGTGAATCGCAAAAAATAGGTTGGTGTTCAAAATTTTGTTCAAGATAAGCTAGACTCACATAAGCCTCAGTGTTATCTGAATACATGTATTTGTAATTATTACCTGCAATTCTTAAAGATTTTTTCCCTCTATAGTCTAATGAAAAAAAAATGACTCCATACTGTTGCCCTATATCAGCCCAAAAGGATTAAAATATAGCCTTCTCCTGTTAAAAGAGGTTGAAATCAGACATTCAACATTAGGATGTTGTTTTGAAAATTAACATTTGATATACATGTGTTATAAATTTGTGTGATGCTGCTTATAGAGATCATCTTTTTGTTTCTATAAATCAGTAAAATATATTGTTACCATTATATTTGAGTGCAATATGATGTAAAAATAGAACATACATAGATCGAGAATTGCTAATTCACAGTTTTGATATACACTTAGGATCTAACAGCTTGACTAAAGGTTCTTTATTATATCCATTGAAGGATGTTGATAACTTTAAGTATAATGTTTATATTTCTTACAAAGGTTGTTAATGTATAAGTATTGCATGTAGGTGAGTGTAACATTGAAAATTTTCACCCCAAGAAAACCATTGTCAACCGAGGCACAACTACATGCAATATTTATTATATTATACTGAATATTTTATACAAATACATATAACAGTAAACCTTACGCGCATAAACTCTGCGCAGTCACTATTTTTAAGCGCTAAGCGCAGCGCAAAGCGCTTACTGGCATCTTAATACTACTTCCGTTCGCGATCCAGCGCCACTAAGCAAGTAAGATAACTCCACTGACTCTTCTAAAAATACGCAACTGGAAATCCCCGACTCTCTACCGGCTATTTTGGTCAAGTACTGCGTTACGCGCAGTTCTAATTATAGATGTCAATAAGAGAGATAGAGAGTACGAAATCCGCTCCTAGTGGATGAGGGCGGTTCTTATCTCTTTACATTGTAGTTCATTTAAAAATTATGCAGGCACACACCACTTGTGTAACATGTAGCTAACAGTTACTATAGTGTTAATTCGAAAAAGTTATATAAAAAAAAAAAAAAAAACATCCTTGGTGCAAATATCTTAAAAAAGGCTCATAATAGGTCATGTTATGCAGTGATTGAATACGTACATATTTTTAATATTTGAATACGTACATATGTTTAAAACTCAGAAAATTGATTTACAGTGTACTTACGTTCTATATAATTTATATCCATATTAACTAATATTTCTTCTTCTAGACCCTTATTTCAGACAATGTAATTAAAAACATGTCTTTTTATTATCATCCTTGCTCAATGTTCAGCGCTATCAATGATGTTGAATTTCGCATCTCAGTACCAATTAATAACAGACTGAAATGCAGTCATGGACTGCCTATACTCGTGTTGTAATCTATACGTGTAACACAGATAAAAAAAATGAAATATGGGGAGATAACGAGCCGTATTCGAGCTCAAACGTCCATTAAACCTTACAAAATAGGAGCATAGCACACACGGACCTCTAAAATTATGTAAATGATTCGCAAGGAAAGGCAGTTTGCGGCTGTACGTACATGTAGGGTGCAAAGACTTATAAATGAAAACTAATTTCTCGGAAATATTTATGACGAAAGTGTGCAGTGCGCAAGATATGGCGAAAAATGCAAAACCTTAATTATTTTCAGTATTCCGTTTCCCCGAACACACCAGTGCAGTGGATATTTTATTCCTATCAGGACGCCATTGAATGTACTTCTTATAAAATTCTTTCTATAGAATCGTAAATTTATAACTCGCTTATGAATATGCAAAAAAAAAAAAAAAAAAAAAAAAAAAAAAAAAAAATGAAATATACTAAAAAAAACAATTCAGACAAAATATTTAGTTTTTTAAGATCTTTTATTCTTAACTTTAATAAATATGTTATCAATTAGGAATTATTTTATCGAAGCAGTAAAAAATAACGTCTATTTTTAAGTGCACTTCTTACAAATAAAATTACAGTCAACAGCCAATATTCAATCTGAAACACTAATGAACACGGAATGAATTTATTAATAACAATTATCACCAGAACATTTTTAGCTGTCAGTGTTGCACATAAATGAGAGGAATAAATCAGCGACATTTTCATGTGTTCAAAATTGATCAAAATGTAGATTTTCCAGCGAATGTATAATGTATAGCTACATGTATCCGTATAGTCTGAATTTTGTTGGAAAACTCGTCGAACCCCCCCCCCCCCATTGCTTGCAATTTATACACAAAGCTAAATTTTATAGACTCTTAGGGCGATGGAGAATGGTAGATGTTGAATATAACTAAGTGTAAACCGAGGCACCCCAGGAATCCAAGAAGACGAGCGTCGAACCTTTCAACTTTTTATATACAGAAATATTATATATAATTTTAAAAGTCCTAATTACAACGACTTTTTTGTTTTAAAAAATGTATTCAGACTCACCTAGGAAAACACATAATACGCAAAATATACAATCCTGAAACCAAGCGCCTATGGTTGAATACACCGCAATATCCATCACTGTGGGATTTTTAAAAGCTTATCAAAGACTCTTTTAAGACACAGGAGAAAGAAGTGCTCTTGAAATATTTTGCCTAACATTGACCATGTTAACAAAATTTAAGAGAAACTATATGTGATTGTCTTGTTATATTTTTATAGATACTTTACTGATACGAAGTATTGTTTTAATTTGAAGTTTAGCAAATTACGATTGGCTCGAATTTTCTATAATTTTTTTTTCTTTTTCTTGTGTAATGTCTTCGAGAATTTTTCACTCATATTGAAAATACACCACTTGACTGAATTTAGACCTATGGTAGGCACTTATGGCCTTTGATCCAGTGAGGATCTTTTTTGTACTAACACCTACTGTGACACGGAACCTCGGTTTATACAGTCTCGTTCAAAGGACCGGTCTTTACTTCCCTTTGTGGGATTCGAACTTGCGTCGTATGGATAAATTCGCATAATTGCAATGATGTTTAAAAAAAAACTAGAAGCGAGTGCTGCTCATAACTGCAAACTAGCTCTTAAAGGAACGTCGGGGCGAAGAGTAAATTTGGATTGTGCAAATTGCTCCAATTGAACTTTTTTCCATAATAACTTCTGGAAATGCCATTTAACACAAAGAGACTTTTTTCCATAACCGTAGAATTGCTCTTTTGTGCGATAAACAAAGTAAACTTATAAAAATGAAAAAAAGTAACAGACTTGCTTTGATGAAAATGTATAATAAATTTCGCTCTCTTTGTTAAATAACGACGTATAACGACGCCATGTGATGACACAGTCTCGACCTTCAAATCTATCCTTGTGCGCTTTAAAGAGGCGGATACAAGTTTTATTTTAAAGTGAATATGTATCAATAGCTGTTGCACTGTCAACATATTACTTATTCCAATACAACAGACAGTTTAAATTCAAAATAAATCTGATGAGTTTCAAATTGCAAACATTGCTTAGCGCTTCCCAGTACTTTCAGTACTTTGATTTTGGAATATCACCCGTCGTCAAGCAATGTTGACTGTTGCTACGCTGGAGGGCGTGGCTTCATCTTTCAGCGGATCATAGTGTTTTTTAACAAATGTTTCTCGAAGAATCAGATTCAACTAATTTACATGAAAGTATAATATTATAGAATATCTCACTCCTGTTTCTATCTCATCATTGGTTTCCTTCATGACGGTTGATTCCCTCCCCCCGGGGGGGGGGGTAGGGGGGAGGAAGGGCCGATACCTCCAGAGGGGTGCACTAGAGGTTTAAGCAAGTTTTTGACAAATAGGTCGCAAGGGTCTCTGTAACATGTCATTTTGCTTTTAGTGTAAATTTTTGCTTTGTCCATTTATAAAAAGACTGTAAAATGTTACATGATTCACACTTTGACAGAAGGAAATGCTCTGTCCATCAAATAGATAGAGTAAAATAGATACCAAATATTTCATTTTATACGCTTATCGGTATATGTCTTTAAACAATTGAAGTGTACTGCATTTCTATTATCAATGTCTTTTTGTATAAAACGTTGACCCTTATAACGTATTTATAAAAGTATAACAAAAGAAAGAAATGTGCAAAAGCACCGGTATTTAAAGTACACATAAAATTTATATGGGAATTTATATGTGAAGAACTGATTTAAAACGTCTTAAAATCGAAAAAGACAATTTTCTGCGTTCAATTTAAAAACTAACCTGCATATTTCAGACATTTCCATTTTCCTTCTAAACCGAAACTGGCAACACATAGAGTAGTTTGATTGATATTTTATGATTTATCCAATAGAATTTCAGGTACGCCCATAACTTCATCTTTAACGTACAACAATTCCCTCGACGTTACATAAATTACACAGACAGTGATATGAAAAACGATTGGATCAGTCATACGGGGGTATTCAAGACGAAAAGAAGATGTTTGTGAATTGATCTAAACTAATTTTGTTGTTGTTTTTTTTTTCTTTGAGCCAGTATCCTACATTTGTATTTAAAGAACTCGACATTCGTTATCTATGAATATGCTCAGAAGAATTTTAAACAGAGGTATATCTGTATTTTCTCGACACAAAGGAATCTATCGTGATTTTGATTTTTTCTTGAAAGTACAATAATTTTGGATATTTTTTTCTAGTTGCAAAATTAATGTATGGTTCGCACACTGGTGAGTAATATACTTTACACAGAATTTGAAACTTTTTTTAGAATTATTTTCAATGAAAGTAACACTCCTGTCAAAACTTAAATATCACGTTGATAATCAGATTTCATAAATTAAAAGTTTTGCCTTTTTGTAAATAAGGGAGTGAAGAGAAATGATCATATGATTAATTAAAAAAAAATAGCTGCAATTTTCATGCAAGGAATTTTTGTTTGGAATTGTAGTATATTATTTTAATGATAGAACAAAATGAAGTATTAAAAACTTCTGTTGATCATATTTACATTTGAAATACTAAAAGATTAGGAAGTTCCGATCAAAGTAAATTACAAAAAATGACTTCTTATATTATACATACATTCCGTAGAACAGACATTTTCTTATGTTAACAAACATTGCATAGTTATTAGTTTTAGTGATCATAAAGACTTAGGTTTAATGCAGAGTTATCAAAAATGAACATTTCTTACAAATAAAATTCTATTAAAAAAAATAATACAGTTCATATTGCTTTGAAAGATGAAAATATATACCTACGCCACCTTTTATTATATTTTCAACACAGTAAAATACTGTACTTTATTCAATGAATAAAACTCATGTTCTGTCACTGTGAAAGAATATCAAAATAATATTCTGAGCTAGCTGATATCGAATCGACCTCGTAAGATGGGATTTTATATATATATATATATATATATATATATATATATATATATATATATATATATATATATATATATATATATATATATGTGTGTATATTGTCACTCGTGCTTCGCACTTGGGATAATATATATAAACAAATCCTGTCCCATTCGTGAAATAAATTCCATATCAAACTACAAAACATTGAAAATCTTTACATATCAGTTCCATAATAAGAGAATACAAAAACGATTCTATTATGAGTAACACGTAAGTTGGTTTTCCGCTCTCACTCACACACACTCTCTCTCTCTCTCTCTCCTGTTAAGTAATAAACACTTTTAAAATTTTCAATATCTCTAAAGACGCAATGTTTGCTTAAGTATAGTAATGCAGACAAACATAACAAACTTACATGTATATAGTTTTTATCCACCTTGGTTATGTTTAAAGATCTTTAATATTACTTTTGTGCAAACACAAGTAAAAAAATGACAATTGACAAAGATATGCGTTAAATGCATGAGTGTTTAATTGTTTTGTGGAACTTTTTTTTATATAAATCTGGATTAAATGTAACAAAATCCATGATTTAACTGAACAGTCAACAGTTAAAAGATGGCGCAGTAGTTGGAGCGTTTGCCCTAGACTCGCGGAGTAAGGAGTTGAGGCAATCGTATTTTGGAACGCAGTTCGCAGTTCGCAATTCAAAAGTGAACTGCATTCTAGAACGCAGTTTGTAATTCCAAAATTATCATCTCCCCCCCCCCCCGGGTCTGATATTTTGGGTGTGGGGTACTAGGGGTCAGTTACCGCTTCTGTAAAAATATGGTCATGTACCATCTCTAGTTTCATTCACCACTCCACTTTTTATGGAAATTCTATAATACTAAACATCGGGCTCAATGACATCGAAGTTCCCTGTCACAGGGTCTGAAATGTTGGGGATGGGGTACTAGGGGTCAGTTACTACATCTGTAAAAATATATGGTGATGGTACCATCTGTAGTTTCCGAGATTCACCCCTCCACTTTTTATGGCTACTCCATAATACTAAGTGAATAAACATCGGGCTCGAGGACATCAAATTTACCTGTCCCAGGGTCTGAAATTTTGGGGGTGGGGTACTAGGGGTCAGTTAACACATCTGTGAAAATATGGTGGTGGTACCATCTTTAGTTTCCGAGATCCACCCCTCCAATTTTTATGACTGCTCTACAATACTAAGTGAATAAACATCGGACTCGAGGACACCGAAGTCCCCTTGTCCCAAGGTCTGAAATTTTCGGGGTGGGGTACTAGGGGTCAGTTACCACATCTGTAAAAATTTGGTGATAGTTCCATTTCTACTGTCCGATATCCACCCCTCCAATTTTTATGGCTACTCTACAATACTAAGTGAATAAACATCGGACTCGAGGACACCGAAGTCCCTTGTCCCAGGGTCGGAAATTTTGGGGGTGGAGTACTAGAGTTACCACTTGTGTGAAAATAGGGTGATAGTTTCATTTCTAGTTTCCGAGATCCATCCCTCCTATTTCTTTGGCTACTCTATAATACTAAGTGAATAAACATCGGGCTCGGGTCATCGAAGTCTCCTGCTCCGGGATCTGAAATTTTTGGGGAAGGGTACTAGTGGACAGTTACCGCTTCTGTGAAAATATAGTGATGGTACGATGGTACATGTACCATCTCTACTTTCCGAGATCCATCCCCCCACTTTTTATGGCTACTCTATAATACTATGTGAATATACATCGGACTCGTGGACATCGAAGCCCCCTGATCTAGGGTCTGAAATTTTGGGCTACTGAGGGTCTGTTACCACTTCTGTGAAAATATGAGGATGGTACCTTCTCTTGTTTCCGAGGTTCACTCCTTCACTTATAATGCAAATTTAATAAACAACGGGCTCGGAAACATTTAAAATTAATGTGCACATGTACATTATAAATAGTAGACTGATAGCTTCCTTATTATTGCGCCTTTTTACGTTTTTATTGTTTTAAATAATTAACTTTGTTTATTATTGCAGAACCATTTTCTTTCATTCTTGACTCTGAAAGTGTTACTGAACATGGAAAGGAAATTCTAGAAAACAGAATGTTGATTTTTTTTTTTAAAATGGCACTATCTGCGGGGTCAATGAATGGACTTCTGTTACCCGATCGATCTCCCCATTGCGATTTTAACATCCCCTACACCGTTGCAAATTGAGTTGCATTATGTTTTAGCTTACATTGGAAAAATAATTAACTTTTTTTTTATATTTTGTTGGGTTTTTTTATTTGTCATTATATTATGCACTTTACGTTGAAATTTCACGATCATTATCATTTTAAACAACTCAGAATTTTTTCAGCGGAAATTCTTAAATAATTTGTAACGAAACATATGCAGTGTACATGTGCACAATAAGTAAATGTTTTGGTTGTTTCAAGGTAAGGTTCGCCATTTTAAGGTGGATAACATAATGTAAAAAAAAAATGTAATGTTTCTCCATAATTGCCACATGCACAATATATCTTTCAAATAAATTACATAGAAATAACCAACTCTTTTTGAACTGGGTGTTCTCCATACATGTATCTTATGCAAAGAAAAACTATTTCTCAGATGCAAAATTTCCATCTTTACTTCTACCTATACTGAACAATATCACATACGTTTGGGCAATTTAAGCTTTCTGATGAACTGTTTTTAAAAAGTAGCTTCATATAATTAAAACATTTATTACATGTAAATATAAAAATTCACATATATACAAATAAAAGGATCATCCCCCACACCAATGTTTAAAAGTTTATTTTCAACCTATGTCAGTCAATCCAATGCGTGTTACAAATAATACAGGACCACTAACATTAATTTATTTATGTCGGGGTGGCACGAAGGTTGGTCAACCCAAAGCCTTTAAATATCTCTGCTATGAAACTATTATAAGTCCAAAGTAGAAAAAAATGTTTTAATTTCAACTGTGTATCGTTTAATATAGATTTAAAATAATCAAATATAGTGTATAGATTGCTACTTTTTAAAGATGGCAGACATAAATAAACAAAAGCAAACCCCAACATGTAAAAATCGCATATTTTTGGTATACAACCTTATTGAAATTGCTTCAAAACTGGTTCAAATGACGGACATGTGTAATTCTAATATTGTAAGTTCCAACTGAATAATTGTTATTTATCACAATGTATAAACTATCAGCATCAGGGTAACCCTTTTCCAATAGAAGTACATGTAATACAAAGGACATGCAAGAATAAAAGACGTAAGAGTAATCACCTTTATGACCTTTTTTTAAAAGTAAATAATAGAAAAACATAGATTTTTTTTAATCGTACCATAGAAATTTTTTTAAAATACATAATGATGCGGTTGAAAATACATTAAATATAGATTATAACTAGGGATGGCAATCGAATACAGAATTGCAAATCGGTTAACCGCAAGACGTTCCGACCGATTAACCGGTTAATCGTATCAAAACAGACATTTTTTTCCAAGTAGCCCTATTCATTTACACAAGAAGACTGAAAAAGAAGTTAGAAGTTAAAAACATAAGACTGTTTATTTTGATCAGGAAACTACATGTAAATATATTTTATTTCAATTTCAATAAACAAAAAAAAATTATGAGAAAACCATGAAACATGTCTGAGAAATCGGACATTGATATTAATCTTTCAGAGCATTTGTCACACAGGTTCATTTTGCATTGTCACTATAATCAAAACTATGACTGAACTCTCACTTAATTTACAATGTTTGTCTAATAATAAAATTTTTAAAAGATAACGGCAAAAGACACACATACCAATTCATAGTGCTCAACGGTGATTTAATATCATTAAAGAATTACAGGACAATCGGGATAACGACATGGTGTTTTTAAAAACAGTAATTAACTTCACAAACAGACCAATTACTCCAAGATCTCAAACCGTAAAGCCATAATTACCTCCAAATCAGCTTAAACAGATATATGAGAACGGTTGATTTATCAAGTTTTATGCGAGGGTTTATTTTTTAGAAATGAATTTTAGGAAAATTGCAGTCAAATTTACATATATTTTATTTTTTTCCGACTAACCGATTACAGATTTTCTAACCGATTACCATCGTTCTGACCGAGTAATCGGTTAACCGGTTACAAATTGCCATCCCTAATTATAACATTAAACTCATGAATAAAGAGTATATCCTTTCTTCCTTGCCATGATTTGGTAATACACGCACACACACACCCTCACAGAGAGAAAGAGAGAGAGAAAGAGATTCTTAAGTGTTAACTATAAAAAGCACAATAAAAAGCTCATGTTTATAAGCGGTTATTTGTTCGGGATTTGGTGGATTTAATGAGTTTATTTCATGTTATAATTACTTCATTATTTCAAAAATCTTTTTAAAATTTGTTGATGTAAATTGACCATTGGGTCTTCACAAAAAAATTTCGATCCCCTGGTAAGGGGTCTTACATATTCAATTCCTCAGCCCGATGTTTAAGATCCGTATCATAGCTAAGAGATCAGGGTTTTGAGTGGTGGATCTCAGAAATTTAAATATTGCGTCATCAACATTTTATTAATTATGATTTTTGACCTCAACATTCCTGATATCCAATATATATCATAATATCCAACACTAAAAATTTTTCCCGTTTAGAAGACGTCTTCGATGGTTTAAAGCCCGAGGTTTATTGACTCCATATAATACAAGAGGCCCTGGGCCACAATACACCCCCCCCCCCATAAAAAAAATTACTAATGTCCCCGGAAGATTATCTTTTTTTTTTTTTTTTAAATCTTCCTCTTTGTGAAAAAATTGTCCGCAATTTTACTAACTAAAAATTTCAATCCCCTGGTCAGGGGTTCTGTCTGTCACAAAAACTCATAACTTTTGAATTAGAAAAGATAGGGCTTTCATATTCCATATGTACATTACCTGTGATAAGACCTTTCCAAATACTAGTATACTATAATTTTTGCCCCCGTAACTTTGAAGTTTGGCCTACTTTTCAAAACTTTTAACATTGGTGATAACTTTTGAAATAAGAGAAAATAGGGAGTTCATATTTGATAAATAAATTACATGTGAAAAGAATTTTCCAAATGTATATGTGTATTCTGATATTTGACCCCGTGACCTTGAAGTTTGACATAATTAGCATTAATTTTATCATTTTTACTTACTTTTGAAGGAGAGAAGAAAGGGCATGAATATTTGACAAGTGCATTACATGACAACATGACATGACATTTCAACAAGAAAAAAATATACCCTTTTTGACATAGACCTAGAATTTTGGCCTAATAATCAAAGTTTTTAACTTTGGCCATTACCTTTACTCCAGAAGAGACAGTGCTTTCGTATTTTATTTCGCATGTGCATTCTTTTTGACAAGACTTTTGGCTTTGTAATATGATATTTGACCTCATGACCTTGATCTTCAAGTGATGCAATTTTGACAAGGTTTAATATTTGCCCTAAGTTTTATTAATTCAATAATTTTTGTATGATGGACAGATAAGACACGACACAAAGACAAGACAGTTACAGTTTGCCATGCATGCATCCCAACTGCTAAAACACTGAAGCGAGGAAGAAAAATTCTTTGAATTTGTTGACTTAGTGTTGTACAGTAGGTATAGAAATTGAGGATGGACCTCCAAAACCAAAGATGGTATAATCACGATTTTCTACAAGCAATTGTACTTTTTCATGAGTACCTTTCAAAACAAAAAAAAATACAATAGTAAATTATTGTATTCTTAACTATAGTTATCTATGTGATCAAAGTTTTTACCATAGTTAATTCATGCATTTTCCTGATTTTCAATTATTTTTTTCATTTGCTCCAATTATTACATGTGACTTTTTTATATAACAAGATAATGTATATTTATATTTTACGAAAATTTACATTATTGATAGGAGCTATTACGGTTTTTAATCTTGAAATAAAAATTCTCGAGTTCATTTTCATGGTTAATCAAATTATAAAAGTATGCTTTAGTTATATGGTGGCATATTCCTGCCTCCATTTCTCAGACGTTTTTGTTGACATGTCAGATGTTTATGTTGACTCTTCAGATATACATGTCGACTTGTCAGATAATAATTATCACGACAAGGAACTCGTTATCTTGTTATTAAAGCATGTTAATATGTTAATACCTCTAATTGACATCTACTTGTCATCATAATACCTGACAAGTCGATATAATATTATGACAAGTCGGAATCATTATCTAACAAGTCGACTTGCCGGATTTTATGTCGTCTTTTCAGATAATGATGTCGACTTGTCAGAAAATTATGTTGACTTTTCAGATTTTTATGTTGACTTGTATATGGTGGCAACTTTCTCTCTCTCTCCTCCGCCCCCCCCCCCCCAACTTGTCAGATAATTATGTTGATTTGTCAGATATTTTTGTTGTCTTGTCAAATAATTATGTCAAATTGTCATATCTTTTTGTTAACTTGTCACTTATTCACTCGTTTAAAATTTCAACAAGAAAATTTACCATAGTTATCTGACAAGTCAGTATATTATCTGAAAAGTCAACTCAATTTTTTGAAAAGTCGACATCATTATCTGACAAGTCGACATAACATCTGAAAAGTTGACATAACATCTGAAAAGTCGACTTGTCATAAATGATGTCTACTTGTCAGAAAAATATGTCTACTTGTCAATAAACTATGTCGACTTGTCAGATATTATGATAAGGATATATGTCTTTTAGTGGCTTGAACATACTGTAATAACAAGATACCTAGTTCCTATTTGTGATGATTTTTATCTGGCAAGTTGACTTAATTATCCGACAAGTTGACTTTAATATCTGAAAAGTCACATAAACATCTGACAAGTTGACATAAGCATCTGGCAGATGGTACCATCACAACATTTTCGCAGAAGTGGTAACTGACCCCTAGTGCCCCATACCCAAGATTTCAGATCCCGGGACAGGGGTCTTCGATGTCCCCAAGCCCGATGTTTTTTTCATTTAGTATTATATAATAACCAAAAAAGTGAAGGAGTGGATCTCAGAATCTAGAGATGGTACATCACCATATTTTCACAGGTGTGGTACATGTAACTGACCCCTAGTACCCTACACTCAAAGTTTCAGACCCTGGGACAGGAGACTTCGATGTCCCCAAGCCCGATTGATTGATTGATTGAATGTTGTTTAACGTCCCATTCGAGAATTTTTTTATCGGTATATGGAGACGTCACCATATACCAATGAAGGGCTTCAAATTTAGACCTTTACTCGGCACTCAGGGCCATTGAGGGATCTTTATCGTGCCAACGCCTGCCGTGACACGGGGCCTCGGTTTTAAGGTTTCATCCAAAGGACCCGCACCTTTCACTTCAAAGTGCCGATCGCCTGGGGAAGGAACAGTTGCTACCTATTTTTATCGACTTAGGTCAGTCGCAGCCGAGATGCGAACTCACGGCCTTCCGATCACGGAGCGAGCGCTCATATAGAGACGTCACCATATACCGGTAAAGGGCTTCAAATTTAGACCTGAGCAGTGAGGGTTCTTTATCGTGCCAACGCCTACGTGACACGGGGCCTAGGTTAAGGTCTCATCCGAAAGACTTTCACTAAAAAGTACGGAGCGCTTGGCGAAGGAACAGTTGCTACTTATTTTTATCGACTTTAGTCAGTCGCGGCCGTGATTCGAATACACGACCTTCCCATCACGATATGTTGAATACGATGAGTTTCAATCGCTGATACAAAATAAAACGTTTAGATCATTAATATTAACATTCATAAAATGACGTCTCTATATGAGTGAAAAATGCTCGAACAGGACGTAAAACAACATTCAATCAATTAATTAATTAAGCCACATATATTTTGCATACGGTTTATTTTATATTTTACCATCAGTTTAAGATGAGAAAGCATGAAATAATTGATTGATTGAAGAATTAATGAAAAGATAAAAGTCTCTCCAAAATCTATTTCCTTCGTGCAGGAAGAATGATTAAAATTGAAGCTAGTAACAGCATACCACAAATTCGTAAATTTTACATTTATGAAAAGAAATCATGGTGTTTGATTCCCCCTCTGTTTGTTTGTTTTAAAATGATTGCGTATCCTTATTATCAAAAAACAGACGAAGGTGATGAAGGCCCACCACCTCTGATGTCAATACCCTGGAGAAACTTTGAGTGGAAGGTAATAACTATTTAGATTCAATCGGCATTTTACTAATAATGTTTGGTTTACGCTGAATATTTCAAAAATAGTATCAAGTAAATGATTGTAAGCAAATTCTATTTTCTAACAACGACAGTATACGATGGACAAATGTTCAACTGCAACAAGGAGACTTTTATGACATATAAGTAGTCATATATGATCTTCACGTACCAGTGTAAAGAATATAAAATAATTTTAGCTTTGAAGATTTAGGAAAGACAAAATTTCTAAAACAATTTTTTTTTTTACTCTTGAGCTTATCTTTTATCAAAATTAATCGTAAAGTTTGAGAGGGAGCAAATATTATTTCAAGAATCAAACAAGAGTTATTTACAAGACACAATTTGAAGGTAGTCATAAAACTCTGTTTTCCCAAGAAATAAAAAGAATATATAAAGTGTCAGATCATTCTAATTTTAAACTTGAGATATTGGCAAGATGATATATTATTATCAATGACCTTTAGCTTTCCAACGTATCTTGGCTACATTGTAATTAGAAACAGTTTAATAAATAAAATTAGCTGCAGAATTGTAGCCCTCCGTAAAAATTATTCTGACAGGCCGGAGAGCTACAGTGCCACCCATTGAAAAAGTATATCTATTGCGCTCAAAAAAATGCACCGTTTCTCGATTTATTTTTCTGTTTTTTTTTTTTTCAAACTGCCATCTCAAAATATTACTAACCGTGTGTTCCTAACATATTCTTTTACTTTTTCCACGACAAAACATTCCTTATGACCATCGTTTATAGCTCTCCTGGGACTGAAATTGAGATGATCATCGAAGGTTTTGCCCATTTATACTGCCATTTTTGGTGGCAAGATAATTTGGTCCAATGTGCAGATGTCACCAACGAAAGTAGTTGATAGAGGTCAAAGGAATTTTTTTGAAATCGAGCATTTGCGAAGTTGAGGTAAGAATTCGGAGAAATTAATCCAGAACCGAGCGCAACTTTTTGTGCGCGTTGAATATCCAGTTTTTTCTATGGATGGCTCTCTAGTCGTCCATCCCAGTTTTTCAGACCAGCGAGCTACAGATTTGCAGCTGAAATAAAATGTGAAGATAACGAATAGTAAACATGCTCGAAGTCGAATAAAACAATACAAATTGTGAGCAGAGCAAACATGGGCCTCTAAAAAAGTGGGATCAGGGTCCATGGATAAGTAAGCACTCCCTGCGGATCGGTCGCACATGATGAATGAGAAATGATTTTGAAACATTTATTTTGAAAGGTATTTTGTCCGAGATAAAACTACAAATAAGGAATAGCTTGATATCTTCATAAAAACCATTTGCTCTTCGTGGGATAATACGCGTGGTTGAAAAGCAACAACAAAATGACGGGCTGCCATCTCGCTTTCTTTTGAGTCGTTATACACTATTGACTAAATAAAAGGTTTTTTTTTCATTTTTTTTTTGTTACAGCCATAAAAAAGTAATTATTGAATATGTTTTAACATACCATGTTTGTGTATTATTTACCAGAACTTAAATATGTCTCAAATGACGTAGTTCGGAGCACTGGGCAGTATTTGCACACTTTAATTTAATAAAATAACGTAAATATCTTTTTTAACTAAATCAAGTTAACAATGACAGTATAACGAATAACTTACTGATTTTTTATGTTGATCAAAACCTTTCCTCACGTGATTATTTTATACGGCATTATTTACGGCAGATGTATTTGACATGACAAGAGTAATCTCCCCCATTGTGTTGCACTTCCTTAATTGTAGCTAGACTTGAAATGGATTTGTAAACAGAATTTTTAAATGTCAACATCACGAAGAAAAAAACATTTGTCAAATTGTTTTCTTTGCTAAATAACGGACAAAGACTCTTTAATTGTTCCCATAGATAAAATTCACAATTCTCTAATCTTAACATTGCTGTAAGAATGTAATAAAATATTATCTAAATCTAGATCTGTTGATAGAACAAAGTGAAATACATAATTGTTTGTAAAATTAAAATATTTCTAATTTACTTTAAAGGGGAAAGAAGTACTATTACAAGAGGTTTCAACGTTTCAAGTAAAGGGCGGGGTCAAGTACCTGAACTGTTTGCTCTTGGGGCAATCTGCGTCTGGTAAAACCTCCTTTTTTAATACATGTGCTACTGCTCTCAAAGATGAGAATAGAGTTTTGGCTCCATTGTCAGTATACAAACCATCTGGAAGCAGTGTCACCTCCACTGTAAGTATTTTATATTGAATTTGAAATGTGCTTTATTTCTAAAATCATGACTTTATATATCATCAATCATGTAGTTTGAGACCCATCCCTTATACACCAAGAGTGACAAAATATTACCATTAAGAATATTTGATTGTCGTGGTCTGCACAATGCTGACGGTGTTACAACAGAAGACGTTAGATTAATGATTGAAGGTCATATCATAAGCGGATATCAGGTAAGAATTATCAAATATTAATAATAATACAAAACATTTTCAATGTATCAATCTATGAATTTTAAATACATAAGCTGTTTTAACACATTCCTCTCTTGAGTTGATTTTTTTGTGGATTTAGCTTTATGTCTATAAATGAATTCTCTTTTGTTTGAAATAAGCGATTTTGTGAAAAACCAATAAAGACTGGGATGGCAACGAATATTCGAACATTCGAATATTCATTCGATGAGTTGACATTCGAATATGAATTTAAGATTCGAGTATTCGGTGTTTTTCAGATTTCATAAAAAGAAGTACTGTGATTTTTACATTTTGATAGAACAGTACTGGAATTATCCCTCCTTAAGATCAATTTCGATCGCCTGATTTCTTTCACTACTTTCTTATTTTATAGAATTACTAAATTACATGGATTTTGTTTTGAGTAAGGTGTTAAAGAATTGTACAATAATGCTTTATGTATAATACAAAACGTACTTTCATAGTTTTTATTACTTAAATACGATCTGGTCTAGAATCGTGGACAACAAAATGAAAAACTTCTTAGAATGTTTAAAAGACGTGAAGATATACTTATCGGGAAATTAATTAATTACCTAAGAAAATTGTCTATGGAAATATTTGTTTATATTTTAAAAACATTATATCAAAGATTATAATTGTATCTCTTATTAAGCAGATAATTGTAATTTATTACACGTATTGAAATCTGAACAGTATACCGTTACTACTATATATTGCCTTTGGCAAGACGACTGATTCCTCAGTTGGAGCTACTATACATGCATATGTTTCATTTGTTAAAATTATAAAATTATATATCAAATGGAATTCCTTATTGTACAACTACAAAAGTCTTCATACAGTTTACTTCCAATATAAGTATACCTACGCTAAACCTTTCGTGAGAGTAGGATAATGCATATTTAAAATAAAACAGATTTTATTTATTTTATCGAATATTCGAATATATTCGAATACTTTCATTGAATATTCGAATATGAATTATTGACAAAATTGACATCCCTAATAAAGACTGTTTGAAAAAACAGGCAATTGGGGGATGGGGTGGGGTACTATTTTCTTTCTGTAATTAAATTTGAAATCAGTATATTCCATTTTTAAAATCATATTTATAGATAAATCCCTGCGTGCACATACAAAACAATCATGCAAATTACCGAAAAAACCCACAGTTTGGAGACAAAATGCACTGCCTCGTGTATGTGGTAAATGCCGACAACCCAAATGCAGCATTAGCTGGAGAAAAGGCGATAGAGATATTCGCAAACATGCGAAAATTATTAGCACCTTTAAGTAAGAATTGTTATGATACTTGAACATTAAAAACTTTAATAGCATCAATTGAAACTTGCAAAAAATGTACAATGAATTTTTTATGAAGTCTTGCATATAAATGAAATATTAAATCAAAATGGTTTTTAGATGTACCACAACTAGTTCTGATGAACAAGGTAGACAGGCTAAGAGCATCATTGTCTGAGGACATTTCACAGGTCTTCAGAAGCGAAGAGGTTCACAGAAAGTTTAGAGCTGTTGCGGATTTTATGGAACTTCCTGAAATGAATGTTTTGCCGATGTCCAATTACCATAAAGAAACATCCCCCGACCTTAAAAAAGATATACTAGCTTTGTCCAATTTGAAAGTGATAATAGATAGAGGAAATGATTTTATACAGAGGCAACAAAAAAATTCCACGCCCGATGACTTTTTTAATTAAACAAAAAATAATGAAAAATGACATTTCGTATTAACGGTAAATCTGAGAACTTTGAAACCACAAACGAGTTGGTATTTAAAAAAAATAATATGATTTTAAAATTTCTGATAATATTTGAAAGTAAAAAGAATAATTTTATATCAGATAAACTATAAGTTATGAAGTGACAGGATGTTTCATTTTTCACAATTCTTTCGTGTAAAATGGTTGAGAGGGATATTATTCATTTTATGTTTCCATATATAAGCATATCTACCCTATATCTCATTAGCAACCATGGGGCTGAAATACAGGTCTAAAGCTGTATGCTTTACATTGCGTCCACAACTTACATTATAATGTAATACGTCTTTCTTCAGCAAACATGAAATTTGCTCTAAATGTCAACCCATCAGGGACAAACAAAGGGTCTTCCCTAAAACGCAGGAAAAATTTAAGACGGGTGCTTAAAGCTTACGTTTGCTACAACTATCGTAATTTTTGTTTTGGCTTACTTGCCAACACTTGTTGTTTGTGTTACATGGGGATGACCCACCCCAGTTTTGGTTAACCAGATTTGCAGTAAAACGTAACGTCCTTGTTTTCCTCCAAAGAGCATTTTCTCTTCAATAATATTAAATTTTAAACCCTTTTAAATACACCATCTTTTCGGCGTGAACTTAATAACATTTTACGTTTCTGTACGAAAAAGAAGTGATGATATCCATTTTCAATTGTGTTATAATAATTAAATAGAAATATGGAGATAACGAACAGTAATCAAGCTCAATAGTCCATTGAAACAATATAAATTTGGAGCAGAGCAAACACAGACCCTCTTAAAAACATCAGAGGTGGGATCAGATTCCATGGAGAAGCAAGCATCCCTGTCTAGCTGTCAAACCCACCGTGTGCTCACAGTCATGAAAACAGGCAAACGGAAAAATCCGTTGATAATTCAGTGTGAAAATAATAGATAATTGCCTAACAATTTGAATGAAAAACGTCAGTCAGCATTCGACTTAATTATAGTTTGTATTTGCTGACAAGGTTACATGTATTGTATCGACCATAGAACTTTCGAAATGATGACATTAAACAAGACTGTTGATACCCTTGTTCCATCAACTTGTTTGTCAATAGCTTGCCTCGTTTTAGAAATTGTTCGTAGGTGGAGCACGCTCTTGCGTATCGAATTGATTGGGAGATATAAACCCAATATGGAGGTGAAAAGGGTACGTTGCTACATAACTAAGAGAAGTTGACGACGGAAAAGTTGAAGACATCAATTTATCATGAAGTTTTGTTGTAAGGTTAGCATTGACGTTTTTTACTAGTTAAATATTCAAATATGAAGCGATGTGTCAGACTCTGTGGTATCTTTCTTTTTTAGTTCACTGTGATGTATTGAGTCGAGATAACGAACAGTATTCGAGCTCAAAAGTCCACTAAACATTACAAAATATGAGCAGAGCAAACACGGACCTCTAAGACATCAGAGGTGGGATCAGGTGCCATGGAGGAGTGAGCATCCCCTGCCGACCGGTCACACCCACCCTTTGGTCCTTGTCATGATCGGGATATAACGGAAAAATCTGTCGACCTTTCAGTGTGTAAATAATGGCCTTTTAATTAGCATGAAAAAAGTCAGTCAGCATTTGACTTAATGAAAGATTGTATTTGCTGACAAGGTCATTGTATCGACCATAGAACTTACGAAATGATGACTTTAATCGAGACTGCTGATATTCTTGTTTCATCAACCTGTTTGTCAATAACTTAACTCGTTTTAGAAATTGTACATACGTTATATCTAAATGTTGAGTTGACGACCACAACAAGTGTGTTTTTCTTCTCATGTTTAAGTTTTTGAATAAATTGTGCTTCACATGAACATAAAATTGGTACGCTTATAACGGGCGCAATTTATACCCATGGGAATTCCGAGAGACTATTGGATGATCTGATCTCCAAAAACTTTATTGATATTATCAATCAGATACTCAAGTATCTTTCTAATATCTACGTCAGAGTACTTGTGTGTAAAATCTGAATGTTTTTTTAACAAAATAATTTTGCAAATGACCATTGAAAAGGTAAGTAAATGAAATATATGGAGATAACGAACAGTATTCAAGCTCAAAAGTCCATTAAAAAATACAAAATAGGAGCAGAGCAAACACGGACCTCCAGAAACATCAGAAGTGGGATCAGGTGCCATGGAGGAGTGAGCATCCCCTGCCGACCGGTCACACCCGCCGTGTGCTCTTTGTGATGATCGGGAAATAACGGAAAAATCCGTCAACAATTCAGTGTGTAAATAATGGCCTATAACAATTAGTATGAAAAACTTCAGTCAGTATTTGACTCAATGATAAATTGTATTTGCTGACAAGGTCATTGTATCGACCATGGAACTTACGAAATGATGACTTTAAAAGACACTGCTGATATTCTCGTTTCATCAACTTGTTTGTCAATAACTTACCTCGTTTTAGAAATTGTACATACGTAGAGCATGCTCTTGCCTATCGAATCACCTAAGAGATATAAACCCCGTATGCAGGTGGTGAAGGTTTATTGCTGCATAAGTAAGGGACGTTGACGATTGAAAAGTAAGAGTTTCATTTTTATTGAAAAAGCATTTGTCTACGATGTCAAATATCCTAGACTTTAATTTAAGGTGTGGAATGGTTGTATAATAAAGTGTTGAAAAATTGTACGTTTTGATGTTATTGATCTTAGTATTTTTTTTTATTTCAATTTTTTAAAAATTTCTTCGGAGTTTTTAAGTATCCATATCTGATGTACATCAGATCTCGAATATACTGTTGTACAGTACTCCTGAATTTTCTCCTTCACTGCTGTTAATATTTTAGTGAGGATTGTAGAAAAAGGGTTGGAAGAACATTTGCTAGAACCAACTATGCATCTTTGTTTGTAAGGGTTTTTATGTAGTTTAGGAATCCAGCATAGGTATGGTAATTCAAAGTTTGTTTAAAATTTTAAAAATATTTAAAACTAACATATGATTTTGAAGAATTTCCTCCTTAGAAAGGAAACTATGAGTATAAATTGGATAACCACTTGCAGAATTAAATTCAAGATCCTCTAAAATACAATTGAAATGATAAGCTTTATATATTTTGTGTTATTATCATTATAAATAAAATTATATTAATAATTACATTGTGTTCAAACAACTGAATGCATATCAAAATAAAAAAAATTCAGTGAACAGGAACAATCATTTCTTATGACCAATTTTTAACTTTTATTCACAGGAATGAGGAAACTGTGTAAGCACAAATGCAAGATAAAATAATGTCTTATGATTGTCTGTACGGTACCCCAAATAAAACTAGATTCTGTTATAAGACAGTAACACCTGACTAAGATATTTGCCTCTAATTGCAGTCTCTTTGATATATGGGTAACCGAGGAAGAAGCCACATTAATTTTAAAATTTACACGGAATATTTACATGTATTTGTCAAATCCAGCAAAACATCTTCAGGTGACCATGTGGCACATGAGCCTCGAATATGTATTTCTTATACTAAATCCATTACCAGTCTGAAATTAATGTAATTTGATGGTGTAAATTCTGTTTAAAAGAGAATTTTTAAAAGAAGATGTTTTTGTAAAAAGGAGGGGTGTAAATTTTTAGCCAATAATTGGAACTTGTTGAATTTATTGTCAACACAAGAAATATTATTATTTTAGTGCATTGTGTTTTGGGCTTAACTTATATTTACATGTAAAAAACAAAATAAGCTGCCAAAATGGTAACTTCTGGAAATGAAAGAACCGCACCTGGAGTTGGACTTGCATCACACTACCAGTACTAGTTTTACCGTTATCATTATTGGATTGCACATGGTGTATTCATTATGTCAGTAAAAATTATAGTGTGTTTTAATTGGAATATATTTTTATTTTATGAAGTTAACAGTACCCATAACAGGCAGTAAGTACATATATCTATGAGATGCCATTAAAATTTTAGGTATAGAACGGGATAAAAATGGTCAGGGGCCTTGAGTTCGAAAAGGGTCAATTAAGCATTGGATTCCCATTCAGAGACCCACCATTAAACTTTGTGTATATTTGCAATTTTTCTTAGTTCAAATACAACTGTAAGAAGAAACACACTAGAGGTGTGATGAAATATTTAGAAATACTAAGAGTATTAATTCTAGTGTAAAACATTTCTGATGTAAAACAATGTGTACAACGAGTTGTTTTCGTCGCATTGTTTTTTTTTGCTGCAATTTCTCAAGAGCCGTTGGGCTATTTTAAACACAATTGCCTTAAAGTATACTTGGGTGAAGGGGATTTAAGTTTATTGAAATGAAGAGTCACACCCTCTTTAAAGGGAAGATAAGAATGAGTGAATTTAAAAAAAAAACTTCTCAAGAACCAATGGGCAAGAAAAATTGAAACTTATATGAAAGCTTCATTACATAATGTAGAATGAAATTTGCTCTTTCAAAACTCTACCCCTCCTTCAGTTTTGACCTGATATCATTAAGACTTGGAGCACAAGTAGACTATACTAAGACAAACAATTATATATATATATATATATATATATATATATATATATATATATATATATATATATATATATATATATATATATATATATATATATATATATATATATATATATATAAAATATCTTTTTTATATTGAAGAATTAGAATCTAGAAATAGATTTTTTTTTCCAAAACACTACTCACAAAGAAACATTATTATTATAGTACACATCAGTATAGCAGGGTTGAGATGGTACAACTTCTTCTGTATCGATATGTTTCATGTTATTTTAAAAATCTTTATAAAATCTTCTTATTGTATTGAAATGAACAAAATATTTCTTCACAATAAAGAATAAGTTATTCATGGAAGACATTTATCTAAAATTATAAAACAAAATTATTTAACAAACGTGGTGTCAGTTATTATGTATTTCACATTTATACATTTTGTAGTTATAATATAAGAAAATTCTTTATTTACATTTTAAACCCAAAATTTTGTAAACAAAACCAAAAAACAAAGCAAAACAAAAAAAAAACAAACAAACAAACAAACA